ATTTCCATTATGGGACTAGAAGAAAGCCATCACTTTTTCATGTGGGACAATAACATATCAAGAAATAACTGGCATCAAGTAGTTGTTACAAAACCACTCTCAGTGAGTTACAGTAAAAGCTGGCTGTGCAGTTGTTTGATTTTTACACTAATAAACAAATTAAAATTTATTTCTATCATCTTTAACATCCATAGTGGCAGGCAGCTGAGGAAGCACTTGAGTTTTCCATGCATCAGCTTACAGGCATGTATGCAGTTTTTATGGCTAAGCATTATGTCTCCTACTGTTACTTGTGATCCAGACCAGCTTTGTGTTTTCCCTCCCTTGACGTAAGAGTCTAGCTTTAAGGAGTTTTTGTCAAGCAGGTTGTGAACAAAATTGAAATAACCACAGCAAATTAATTGGCAGAGACAGAAAAGCTCCCTGGTGTGCTACAAAATGATGAAGAGACTACAAAGCTTCCTAGAGGACAATAAAGATGTGCCTACACATACATGACCAGGTATCCTGGTATCTGCCTTGTATCCTATAAAGGCGGTTGTAAAAGCTGCAGTTCTAAAGGTTTTCAGTCTGACCTTTAGCACAAGTGCAAAATGAAGAGATGTGCACAGAGAAACCTGCCAATCAGAAGTAGAACCATCACCATCCTGCTTCGGATCATGACTCCCATTGTGCAGCAGCCCTTGCAGTCACCTGGCACCCACTTTGCTGACGTGCAACCAATGGTCTCTGACCCAGCAATGTTTCCCTGAAACAGTAACAACATCAGGAAGGTGCAACTGGGGGGATTCAGGTCTCTGCTTCTTTCAAGATGACCCCTGAAATGCTGAGCTCGTGATGTTATTAGCATCAGCAAGCAAGGAAGCCAGCCAAGAGTGTTTTATCTTTCCATCAGCAATTGAAGTGGGCCAGCATTCAACAGCACACTGTGCCAATATTTCTTCGAACACCAAACGGATACGCATCCTTCAAACTCAGGCTGCAGAGTGAACGAGCTGAATGCTGCAGCTTCTAAATTTCAACTTCAAGTGCTGCTCAAGGCAGTAACGAGATATTGCCTCTACATTACATTCACAGATAAAGCTTTCCTACTCTGAGCCAGTTTTCACCATTGAGATGATCAGAAAAGGCTACTCGAGTCAAATTCAAAGACAGAGCCTGAACCTGCCCAAGTCTCACTGCAATGGTTCAACCCAAATGAACACACATCAGGACAGTCCCAAATACATGCAGTGTTTGCAATTTGGAGAGACAAAAGCACTGCTTCAGAGGGCTAATCTGCTCTTCAGAACAAAATATCCAAAAAAGAAACAAGAAATCTTCATATAAATAGATGAAATTGGTATTTTTGGGTTCTCTTTCAACCCATGGGATAGCAGAGGACATGGAAAGAACTCCTTTAGGTATGTGGGTGCACCAGTGAAACCAGAACCATCTTTTCACCAACAGACTGATCTAGATGGTGCTTCTGCTGAGCAATTCAGTGCACAGACCCCAACCCCATTCACAGGTGGTCCCTGGGCAGCTGTGCAAGTGCAGAGAGGACATCCTCTGGGTCTGGAACTTATCTCCCATAGTTGTAAGGCCTTCAAACTGATTGGCAGGCTGTATATACAGCTCTACAACACCTGGTATTAATTCTACTGGTAACACACTCCTCGCAAAAGCCCTTACATATTTACTGGCCTAGAGCAAAGCAGATCCTGAGCAGCACTCCAGCACCTGAAATGGGAGATATTCCCACTGCAGCCATCAAGGACACAGATGTCCTCTGCCTGGCAGCTTTCATCAGCCTAAGTAGAGGGGCAGCATTTTGCACGCACACCAAATGAGAAGCAGCAGAGTCCTCCATTGGTTACATGCTCCAAGAATTCCATTGAGGCAGCCCTCAGGCACTGCACGCTTTCAGCCACACTGAGCTTTAAACCTTTAAACACACATCAGAAGTGCTGGTGCTCAGAGGCTACAGTCCATATATCATGCACTAAATGACTAGTACTCTTTGTCTCAACAGAGCCGTCATTTTATGCTGTAAGAGCAGATAATGCAAGTCTTTTTGAGTGCTTGTAGTCTGCAGTAAAGGTCCATGTCTACGAACTCAAGATTCTGAAGAAAATATAGCATAATCACCCTGTCCATTCCCAAAAAAACCCAAAGTGATTTTCATTTCTGCAAAAAGTACTGAAAGCTGTTCATTTGGGAGAGCTAATTTGTTTAGAAAGGCTGCTTTTAGCTTTCTTGGACTTCTCAGCTACAGTACATTTTTCTTTAATTAGTTTAGTTCAACCAGCAAAGAGCAGGAGTTGAGCAACAAGGGTCTGCACATAAAAGCATTTGAAACTGCTGGCTAGCTAATACAGACTAAATATACACTGCAATCTGCCTGTCAGACTTATTAGAAGGCAGCATTGTGTTCTGTATACTACATCACTATTACTGTATTTTCCAGGTAGTGATTTCATATAGGTAAATGAGGCTGCTAGGTTCGGTTCATTAGCATCTTTTCTGCAGCCTCCAGCATTTAAATTAGAGATTCTCCTGGACCATATGAAGGAACAAGTGTTTACTTATGTGTTTTACTAGCTTGCCAACACAGGCACCTCTGCATCCCGCAGTCCTGCCTCCGCTGGGACTAGTGGAGGCTACAGAAACAAGTACCTGAGAACTGAGTAGCTCCTGACAGAGCTGGGAATCAATCCCTATTGTTTAGTGTCAGGAGATACCCTGATACAACATCTGAAGTAGACCAAAGTGAATACAAAGTATTTTTTGGGTGCAAGTTGCCAGCACAGCTCCTGCTGCCCATGCCCAGATTCCATGTCAGTCAACAGTGCAGGACTACAGGGAATCCCCCTGAGAGGCAGAGGGTTGTGATGCTCAGGGCTGACATTACCTTTCTAGCCCCCTGAACCACCAGCCTCCCTTCAGCATCAAAACTTGGTTATTCCTACCAATACCTAAAACCCTGCACAGCCAACAGCATGAGGTGAGAGACAGGGAGCAGAGGGCTGTGTGCTCAGCACAGAGATCAGCTGCTCTGAAATACTGCAGGCAAACTCAGAGCAAATAAAGGGGTAAGGACAATGGTTGCATCTCGTCTGATGGCTTGGCTGGCAGCCAAGGGAGAAAAGAGGAAACATCCTTCTGTTCAGGCCTTGTTCCCATCTCCAAGACTTCCTCCACATTGAGCCATTCACACTTGTACGAAGCAGCAACACTGAAGTCAGTGATAGGACTGGGTAGGGAGAAGGGTCATACTTTGTGACAGGATATGACATGATGCAAACCCCCATCTATGTAAGATCAAAAAGGCTGCTGGTGGCAACAGGAACACGGGCATATGGAACAATCCAGCTTCTAGAATGACTTATTAGACAAAAATTATTTTAAAGGCTGTTTTAAATTCAGTGCTTAACTCCCTTCTGCTCAGTTAGTGAGGCAGTTAGTTGACTATATCACTACATTAGAAAACAGAATTCCTTTCCCATACAGAACATGTAAAATAGTGCTAGTTGTGACTGAGTAAGCCCCTTCTATGATGTCTTTTAAAAGGCAATATGTGTTTGGGTAAGTAGCTAGTGTATTCCCAAGGAAAGTTTCTTTCACCAGTGCTCACCCTGGTATCAGCTAATTACAGAAGTACTGCAGCTACCTGTGGTGTCATGATAATTACAGCTGGTGTGCACAAAGCTCAAAGAGGCAATAGCCATGAAACTGCTTCTCACTACCACTTCACAGAAAGTGCTTCTGCTTCTCCGAGCACTATAGTTAATTGCACCTTCACAGCTTCACAATTTATTGGTCATTTCAGAGTCATGGAAATCCAGGTAGAGATGAAGTGAGGCAGGCATGAAAGACTCAGGAGAACTCCCCTTACCCAGAGGGGTTTCACTTCTGTTTGGATAGAACACTAAGTCATCTCTCAAACTCCACCAGACTCGGATAGAGCTGGGCTGCAAATTTCAGGCAAACCAGTTGGTCTTTAATTCTAAAAAAAAAAAAATGCCTTAAATAGCCAGAGGACCCCTAAATTCAAAGTTTTGAGCTTTAGAAACAACTTTGGGGGCTGGGGAGGGAGGTTCTGTACGGCACGTCCACAGACAATAATTAAACATTTAATTTCCCAATCATGCTTTTGATCTGGTGAAGAGTGTTCTGGGTTAAAAGCACCGTCAAACCTACAGATGCAAAATAAAACCTGCTTAGCATGGGGAGCAGCTCTTCAATTTCTGTCAGTAACAGTGAGGACAGATGTCTCTTCTATATAGTGCTTCTAGCTCAAGGATCCATCTTCTCCAACAGATTTAGACCTTCTCCAAGAACACTTGGCTTCAGCTCCAAACTGAATCCTGAGTTTTCAGAAAATTACAGCTCTGATTAGATTTATGAGTTGATTAAGAGGCTTTCCAAGTCCGAGATTCGGGTAGTTACGCTATAACAGGCTGTTCCACTACAAAACCCTAAAGGCAAAGCCAGTTTCAGTTCTAGTTTCCAAGAACAGTGCGTACTCTGAAGACATGCTGCACACTGCAAGGTCTGCCTGCAACAGCACCTTCAAGAAGTCACACCTACAGTCACATGCCATCAGCTGTTACAGGTCTGATGGACTTGACCTCTATAGTTCTTCCATGGCCACAATTACTGTGATGTCTCTGGACTCCCATCTCTAAACATTACAAACACAGTACCCAAAGCATAGCTCAGCCACAGCATGCCAGCACCTGCAACAGGGACTCATCCTCATACACTCTGGACCACCACAGCCACAGCAAGGTTGTGCACTCACACAGCACTGTAGATGTATCAGAGCGAGACAAGCATGAACTAGGGATGGACAGCGGGTTAAGCAAGGACTGAGTAAAACTCAGCACAGGCAGTAACACCGTCCCAAAAAACCCTTTGTAGCCCTAACCAGGCCTCTGCACTGCTTGGGCTGATGTGCTGCTGCCACGTGAGGCAGCTGCAATGGAATAAACTGGGGCCTGACATCACAATGATGCAGCTGCACCAGATGACAGAAAGCCCTCCTTTGGCAGCAAACGGCCCTGAAAAAGTAATTAGTTTTCCCAGAGTTATTAGGAAAGTGAGTAATGTGTACAGCTATAGCAGTGCTGTAGACACTGCGCTCTGACTGAGGGAAAGGCAAAGCTGAAGCGAGATTTGTTTGCAGTTGTAATTGTTCTCTGCCCTGTCTCTGTTCAAGCAGCTACAATTATTAATCTCTAAATTTCAACATCAAAAGCTGAGATAATTAAATAGAGGCAAGGTCAGACAGAAAAAAATAATTTTTTACGTTACATTAATTTTTTTTGGCTGAGATGGTTTTCTTTTTGAGCTGATATTAAGAGGATACGTATTTTAAGTAAGTCCCACCACCCACACATGCCATCAGCAGAGTGCAGTATAGCAAAAAATAATTGAAGTAATTGTTTTTAAGGACATTCACTTCAATTTAGCCAAGATTAGAGTTTACATAGCTGAAAAGAAACCAGACATCAACCTCTGCACTGGATTTATTTCTATACTAAAAGTAATTCTTCAGATTCTTCTCTGTGAAGAGAAAAGCCCTGGATATCATAGCCTATATGTGGATCAAAGTAGCACAGTGGAAGAAAGCCCTGTTGATGCTAAAGTCTGCACACAGGGAAAAAACTACAAAACACAGACGAAAATTCCAGGACCCAATGTTCAACTACAGCAATGAGAGCAGGAGAATATTCTTAGCCTGGAGACAAAAATAAATTAATGCAATTACTTCAAACAACAATAAAAAAATTATTACAAAATAGAAGAGAAATTTGCCTCTTTGTCAACTAAAGCAAAACAGTTTAATACATTCTAGTTCAAATGAAAAGTGAAAAAAAGAAAAGGGAACGTAGGTGAAAAAAGAATAAATCACCTTTTCTTCCCAGATCCTAAAACTAGAAACTGTTTCAAAACATTAGAAGTTTTCCATGGAGCACAGCATCTGGGACCATTTCACACTAGCACATCTCTTTCACAGTGCATCCAGGTTGGTTCTTACTTCTTTAATAACTAACCTGTAAAACCTTTTCTATCCACCAAATAAGCAAGTTTGTGCTGCTACAGAAATATCCCACTGTAAGGACAAATCTGTCTTGTGATTAACTCCACAGCAGCAGAATCCCACCAGGGATGAATTAAACAACATCATTTTTCCACCTTTTCCAAAATGAGGACTCAGGTATTTTCAAATCCTTTTCCATTCATCTCTGCTCACAGCATGTGTAGCTTGCAAAAAAGTTCCCTTTATCATCTTCTGTAATTAATTTTCTCTGAGCAGAAAACAACACACCCATGAGAAACTTGTGCTCGGTCTGCAGGGAGCTGCAGCATCATGTATAAGAAGTGGCCTCGGCATATTTGGCACGTTGCTGCATTGATTCATTGCCCTGTCACTGAATATAACTGGATGTTTATTAACAATGAAAACAAATACATTTTATCTTCTATGCCAAGACCTGTTCTTCTGAACAAGAGAGAAGCATTAAGAAGAAAATGAGATATTAATATGCTTAAAATAAAAATCTAGAGCTGGCATCATGGTATGTGATCTAATGATTACCACATGAGGAACATGAAGTTTAACAGGATATATGAACTGTCACAACTCCAGTTTGTTTAGATTTTTCCATTCTCAGCATAAAGATAGGCTGTATAGACCAGCATCGTTTCTACAGGGTATTAGCAGAGAGACAGGGAAAGGTATCTAGGTACACACCACAGGTATTAGCTACCTGGCCTCAATATCCTCATACTCACTGATCATTTTACACTTTTCAGGGTTTCCTGAATCAATGATTTTATGATTTGACAACACTCAGGAAATTCAGTGTTCACTAATCCCCTCCACATCTCCCTTGACAAGTGCAGCTGCCCTGGGATGGATGCAGCCACCATCCAATCACCTCCCACAGGTGAGCCCACACTCCCCTGTGGGGTAGCTCAGGGGAATTTCCTTCCTGACCCATTTCCCAGAACATCATCTGTAGTATCAATGATTTAGAAGCACAGCAGAGATGGGGGACATGGGAGTGAGACTTCTGGCCACAGTCAGCACAGGTCTGCAGCAAGAGCCTGGTGATGCTCAGAGACAACTGCCCTATATCCAGGGGATTACAAAACTGCATCACAGGACACACATCCTTGGACCCAACAGCTGCTCCAGCAACAAGAGTCCTCCAAACCTCAGTGTTTGGTAGTTTTGTGATAGCAACCACACAGCTTTGAGACCAAACCCCAGGAATGAATATTCCTGCTCCCTGCTGAAGACAGGCAGAAGCCCAGTGCCAACTGGGGCTGACTGGCTCCTGGGTATGTCTTGTACCCAACACTCAGCCTGCATCCTGCTCCAGCAGGAAGCATCCCAAAAATCTGATGTCAAACAGAGCATTAAGCATGGTGAAAATACAGCTCTTGAAGGCAATCTTGAATCAAGACCATTTACCGCAAGTCACTCCTGAGATGATTCAAATAACATCTATCCTGCAATGAATTCACACTCCACTGCTAACAGGGTGTCAGAGAGACTTGCTCATGGGCACAGAGTCCTTTCTCCAAAGCAAACAGTAGCCATCTCTCATAAATCATTGTACAACAGAAGCACCATCTGCAATAACAAATGAGACCTCCAAGGCATCTTTAAAGTCTTGGGTTTGCTACATTAAGTTTAAAGCTTGTAGCTTTGTCTTTGGTAGAAGAAAAGATTCCAACAGCACTCTGCTGTGCATGCCACTGTTCAGGGAATGAAGAAATCGTGCCACACTGCTCTAATTAACAGAGACTCAGTATCCTCAGTCTATGGCCAGGAGACAGAACAATGGTAGCTGCCCTCTCCACTACTGCTTTGGAGGTTTAGGACATATTCAGGTGAAGCACACTTACAGCACAGAAAAAATAGTAAAAAGCAAAAGGAGAAAAAATGCTCTTTGTGACTGCCATCTGCACTGGACTACAATATAAAGCATCAGTTCCTAACCACCCACCGTCTGAGACTGTTTTCCAAAGGACATCTTCCTTTTTGCAGGTACAGCATGTGCTTGGCAACACCTGCAGTTACTCTCAAGGGTTCTGACTTGCAAGTGCACCTTAGCAGCAGCATTGACAAGGGCCATATTTCATTCCATATATATTTACTGGTTAACAGCTACATTACAGCAGAGTACATGTTGAAGGTGTGCGTACCAATACTACAGAACTAACAGACCTGCCCGTTGTGGGACATTCAGACTTACAGCAAACCTTCTGCAGTATCAAGCAGGTAGATCTAAGTACTGAGCTCACCACAGCTCAATTCTGCCCAATTGAGGTGGGAGGGTCAAAGTTAAAGAGGGAGAATAAAAAGAATCTTTGCAATTTTGAACACTTGTTTTGTCTGGCAGCAACGTTAACGGTATTTGCAGTTATCAAGTGTAACAATTCACGTCTTCATTCTCATCACATCTTGGCATAGGGAGAGAATTAAAGATGTCACATTTGCCAACTACCCATATTAAAATCACATGGCTGCTGTATAAACTTTCAATTATGGAGGATAGAGGCTGAGGGTGGAGGAGATAATCCTTATAAGAACTACTTCAAAGGGAGAGTATGGATGAGATTTCAGAAAGGCTAACTTAGAAGCTGTGTGATGTATCTGTTGTTTTGATATCAAGGTCATTCTTAACACTTAGACGTGGTTTTCACAAAGGAAGCCTTTTAAAAATATTTCCTCTATTTGTTTTTGCAAATCAGCTGATTCTAGTTATAAAAATCCATTAATTGAGTGCCAAACAAATCATCAAAGAATTCCTTCGCTGTTCAAAGAATAATAAGGCACAAGACAATCAAGGAACCCTGTTTACACCAAGCTGAGGAAACCCTAAGCTCAAGCCCAACACAAAACAACTGGAATCATTTCAGCTCACAGAGAAAGCAAGCTGAGCATGCCTGAGTCTTTTCCCATTTGCACCCCTACCCCAAGCCTGTGTGCTCAGTAGATGCTGTGGATTAGCTGATTTTTTCACTATACACCACACTAACAGGGGAGCTCAAGCTATGCATTTTGGGAATAATGCACTATGTGAAGTCTGGTTTTATCTATTAACCCTGCATGGTGCTTTCATAATGCATGTATTTCATCCCCAGAGGCCCTGTGCACTGACAGCTTTCAAACCTTGGATGGGGTGCTCTTCAGGGTGGCAAGAGAACAACAGAATGGCCTGCTGTCCTATCAGACCCTGATGCAAGTTTCAGGGCTTGTGAAGCTGGTTGGCAAATATCCCAAGGGACAAATAGCAAGGGACTGCATACAGCCACATCTCAGTGATTCAGTGGAAGATAACTCCTCTCTGTTTTTCAAAAGCATCTTTCTCAGCCCACAAGTGCTCAATCAGGGAACCCTGTAGGGCACGGAGGACACAGACTTTGTGCAATGATGCTCCACCAACTGTTAGAGCGGGATGTATGCCTTGGTAAATGAAAGGTTTTCATCTGGTTTTCTCACTAGAAACCAACAGCAAAACGTGGATAGCAAAGCAAAAAAGCTGAAGCAAACAAACCTCAGGATTTGTTTCCTCTCTGTGTGTCTTCTATTAGGTTAATTAGTTTTATCTGTCTACGCAGCAGAAGACTACAACACACCAGAGGAGCCAGGATTGCTCATTTCTGAAAACTCCACTCCTCAATAGTGCTGCATCCTGGCAGAGTGTCACAAAACAGGAATGGGGAGAAACCAGTGATTTTAATGTATCTGTGAATGGTAAATAGAGAAGAAATTCAACAACTCTCAGTATTTTGAGTCAGTGATAACTCAGATAAAAGATAAAACTGAGATTTTACTCTTGTTCTTTAAAAATCATCAAGAATGTATAAGAATAAAAACTGAGATACTGAAAGGAATTTCAGCACAGAAGAACTAGAGGTCCCACATGGCTGTTACTGAAGTACCCCCCAAACATTATCACCGCTGTCCAGACGACAACATACTAACTCAAAAGTGCTGTGATCAACAATGAGCCACTTGGAAGCACAGGATTACACACATACCACCTTGCATAAAGGGAAAGGTGATGATAAGGAACCAAAAACTAGGAACTGTTATTTTAATAAATAAAGGTCCAGCGGTGAATCTATCTAGTAAAATTAAGGACCATATAAGGTGGGGTTTAAGGCAATTAAACAGCACTCCAGTGCTGTTTCAATCTGTTCCATATGGTAGGGGTCAAAAAAATTACAAGATATTTTTAACACTCTTCATTGCACAGGGACAGTAGTTCAGTGGTGTATGCATGTGTTACATCATCAGTTCTGCTCTCCTTATTCTACTACCAACTAAGCAGAATCTAAAAGTGCAGCTAATTAAACAGAACTTAAATTCAGCAGGTTTGGATGACTTGCACCACAGTTTTAAAAGAACATCCTGAAACACTCTATTACAGATATCAATTTTAAATATGTTGGGCACATAGAAGTTGCAGTAGCTGGAACAAAACTTGCTGATGTGCTATTTTAAGAATTAAATAGAAAATCCTAATAATGATATCCAGAAAACTGAGTATGATAAAATTAATCTGTGTAAACTGGAAATTCTCCAGAACACACAGTATCTAGTATTATTGACTTTTAAAAGAAGTATAAAATACCACCCTTTAACATGATTTTAGTCAATTAAATAACACTTAACTTTTTATACAGAATTTAGCTTCACGCTACATAATGATTTGATTAAGATGAGGAAATATGTATTAATGGACAAAAATAATTTCATGCAGTGGTGATTAAATAGTCATAGGTATACATGTATGCTCCTACTGAGGGAGAGACTGCTCCTTGGCCCTATGGTGTAAACACATGTCAATGAGTGGAAGAGAGTCTATAATCATTACTTATCAAGCCTGAAAATGGCAAACAATGTGGGACTGCTAAAATAACCGAGAAGAGAACAACAGATCCACATGTCTAAATAAACTCCACCAGAGAACACAGTATAGACTTCAGTACTGAAACACACAGACACACACACATGCATGGGGACAGCATCCTGTGAAGCCATTGATTTTCAGAAACTTCATGATCGACATGTAATTAGAGAAGCTGAGCACACTGTGCTGGAATGGTCCAGTGATCAAGAGAGCTCAGGGAGGCTTGGGTTGGGGGGGTGCACAAAAAAAATAAAAAATAAATCAGCGTGTGGCATTTAACACTGTCAAAATTATGTTAAGTTTTAATGCTTGCGATCCAAGAAGGATATTGGAAAACTGGATCCAGTGCAAAGAAACTCCAAAAGGATGATTAAAGGACCAAAAGCTCAGCTTAGAGAAAGGCTCCAGAAGCACCATCTGTTCTCCCTAACAAAGGGAGAAGGTTAATAGGACAATCTGATCACAGTTTACAAGTACCTACGTAAGGAACAGAAATTTGATCAAAGAGCTCTGTCCTCTAGCAAATCCAGCAAATTTGCTCTTTCCAGAAAATCAGACAAACTCAGGCCCAAACCAAGACATGTTCATGATGTTTAACTCTATCAGTTAATGCTCATGTTGACAGTATTACCAGTTCTGATACCTGTCAGTAAGGCTGAATGCAGGACAGTGAAAGCTGTCTTGGATTTTCCATCACAAGTTAAAAACACGATGGCAGGATTTTTTTTCCCCTCCTACTCAGAGGCAACTTTCTAGCTAAAAAAAAAGGAATTAATTCAGAGCAGTCAGGGAATTATTTTCATAGCACAGACTTCACATGAGCAGCTCTGTGTGTCCCATGAGACCCCTACAGCAGGAGCATCACTCCATGGAAGGGACTGTGACGTGTCTCTAGGGACAGGCTCTGTCATTCTGGCAGCTATCAGGAATTAAAGTTTTAAGACTAAAGCTTCTCTGCTGTACCACAGGCTGGCCAGTATTCCCTCACCAAGCTGGTATTTATCCCAGTACCTCACCGTCAGCATCTCCCACAAAATGTGACTATTGCAGTTAAAACATCCGCATTCACATGGAGCCTGAATCCATGGAGCTGCAGCTCAGGTCACATTCTGTTACACCCTGGGCCATGTAGTCAGGTAACCTATATAATTTTTTTTTAGAGAAATCCCATCTTAAAATTAAATAGTCATTTTTATTGAAACTTATTTTTATAAAGATTGGGGGATATTGCTTTCTTTCAAATGTTCTTTGGCTCTGGAAGCTGAGGGAGCAGAGCATCAGTTGCAAGACTCCCAATGTAGACCAGTTGTTTCAATAGGTTTTGCTGAGAATAACTCTTGGGAGTGGCCTTTAGGATAAACACATCCCAGTCACAGGCCTGGGCAGCCTATCTAACAGTTACCTTCTTAATAACCCAGCAGGGTTAAGGAATAAGTAGAATTATACAATGGCTTGGGTTGGAAGGGATCTTGAAGATCACCTAGTTCCAACTAGACCAGGTTACATAGAGCCTCATCCAGCCTGATCTTGAACACTGCCATGGATGGGGAGTCTGCAACCTCTCTGGTAATCTAAGCTCTTCAGCATATTTTCTTAATGAGCTCTTTTGGCTCCTGTGTACCATAGGTTTGTGGCAGGACACTTCCTCAGGGCAAAGAATAAGAGCACAGAAGCAAGTGGAGCTGGTATTGAAGTGTAGTATACTTTGAGGATGCATGAGGTTCCTTGGACTCCCCACCTCAAGCCCCAGTTCTCTCACCACGTGCTACAAAAACATTTGTAGCTCCAACCTTTTGGTACAAATCTATTCCTCCTCTCCTGTCCCACACACTTAAGTGCAAATCAGTGTTTCTGCCCTACACACTGCATACAGGCACTGCTTTTAAGGGAAACACAACTACAGAGCAGAACTTAATACCTCAAATCAGACGTGCAAAAAGCTACTGGTGGATTTCTAGGTATGAAGGTCTCAGGGAGAAGCAGAGAGAGTTTGGCTAGAGGCAGAGGCAGCCTATAGAGAAGCCAGCAGCAGGCTGGCAATGTGTGACCATTTATTAATTCAGTTTGTAAGAGACAGACCCATGCAGCAACCTCCACAGGTAAGGCTCCGCTAAAAAATTCCCTGCCCTGTCCCTCTGCCGAGCTTGCTGCTTCATTCCTGTGTTCCTTCACAGAGCCACTGCTGTTTGGGAGGGGTAGGGAGCCCATCCCTCTCTGGCAACGCAGGCACCTCATGTAAATTCATTGAATAAATGCAGTCATTTCTCTCAGCTGATCCATCCCCACGTGTGCATATTGAAGCTGTGCCAGACCCTCAATGCAGCCAACTCTCCTACAGTTCATCACTCCTGAAGGTGAAATTGTTCATCACCCTTATCAGCATTTCCTCCTTCCCCTCCCCTCCCCTCACTGCCTTCCCTGAAGTTCCTGGCCCTCCTTCCTCACAGGAGCCTGGCTCTGCACAAGTCAAAATCAAACCCAGGCAGAGCCTTGAAATAGACCTTGGAGAGTAAAGGACATTATAAAGTTATTTTAAGCTGAGGAAAACTGCATTTCCCTTAGAGATTGACTTCAGTCTCCAGAGCCCTTGAATTTTTAGGCTTAAATCTGTCTCCTTGATAAGGCTCCATAGTAGCTGAGACCCACAAAGAAGTTTCCAAAGCACCAGCAGACATAAATAACTGGAAACAAAACTGGAGCATCATCACTAGATGCTCACATGAGCTCTGGCTTCTGCAATCAGTCCATGTGAGCCTTTAGTCATCTGAAACAGCACAACCCTCAGCTCTTCATAGAAGAGGAAGGTTGTGCTGTATCAGCTGGAGGTGATTCTTTTCCCTCTCTATTTTGTAGCAGCCACCAACTCCTCGTGCTGACCTGACCTGACCTGACCTGAAGAAGTTACTCTAATTAAACACATGAAGGTCTGATCAGCAGAGCTGCACTCTACTTACTACTGATTCCGAGATCCATGTAGGTCAGGAACACGTTATTGCATCCCACAGGGCTGGACAGAGCATAAAAAAAAGATCTCCTTCCTGCAAGGGATGCTTGTCACCTCTGGGTGCTGCTCTGAGCAGAAGCCCCCACATTAACCATGGGCATCCAGGGCTTTCAGTATCTGTTTTGCCTAATGCAATTTAACTACTAGAAGGTGAAAACACATGGGCTCTATGGGTTTAGGTTTATATCATCTTCATTTTTATTAACTTCAGCTGCTGTGGGTGCCCTCTAAAACAGGAAAATGGGGGTTCACTTCTCCTTTAAAAGTAAAGCAAGGGAGGTACTGACAGTATGTAGTAAGAGATCTGCCAGAGGAAAAGACGAAAATTATCTATTATTTTAAAGAACACACAAGCAGTCAGCCAGTCAAGGAACCTTTTAATTTTTTAATTAGAGATGTTTTTCTGGCTTGTTTGGATTTGGGGAGGGAACAATAGATTTTTATCAGGCTCTTTTCCAGACTCAGTTTTATAGCTTTAGCTCTGTATGCACTGCTAAAGAAATTAGACATTATTTACTTTCCAGAAGTGACTGGTGATTGAGGATGCCTAAATTGAGACTCTTCATATGGTTTTTAATTGCATTTAAAAGAGTGTGCAATCATTTATCAAATCTGTTACCTTTCAAAGCATCATCAACCTCATTTCTACAAAGAGTCACTAACTACAGTTCCCAACCACTAGAAAATTCCTGCCCATACCTTGCCACCTTTTCATTGTACATTTTCCCACCCAGGGCAGCAATGACATATATAAGCCCATGGGGACACCCATAATACCTTTAAAAACAGGGTATCTCAGACTTTTTCTCCAAAAACCCCCACATCTATACATTTGGAAGCCACACAAAATTCAAACCTCGGAACAGTCAAAAGTTTGGCATTACAACTCAGATCCATTTGGTTTGCTCCCTGACTCTGCTCAGAGAAGCAGTTTTTTTGCATCTGCTCAGCACATGCAACCTTATCATGCAGCCAGAGCCAGGAGCCATCTCCCCCAGCCAGTGGCAAGCAGCCCATCAGTGGCATCTCACTACTGGAAAAGGCACAGCTTCAGACTCAGCTGAGCTCCAAACTAAGGGAAAACAAAAGCCAACAGCAAAAGTAGAGAA